CTTCGACGGGAATGGTAGAGTATCGTTGAGGATGCCACTTTGCTGTTTTTCCCGATATTCCTCATAGATCCACCCCTGTAGCCAAATTATCCTCCCCCAACGGGAAATCGTTTGGCAGATTTAGGAATGCCTACATCACTTGTGTTATTCTTTGCTATTGAAAACTGACTCAACCATAACATACGGGAGTTCAGCTTAATAAAACTGTAAATAAAGACAGATTACCTAACTTACAAGTGAAAAGTACACGTAACTGTACGTTAATCTTAAAATACCAGAATTTGTTTTCAATTAAAATACTGCTGTAAGAGTTTTGTTGAAGTCGAATTATTTCTCGCACAGTTCATTAATGATCATGAAATGCCTGTTTCAACAAACACGATGAACAATATCGCGCACAGCCTGATGACTTCACACAGAAGATTTTTCTTTGGTCAGGTAAAAAAGGTCTGTTCACCGCACTGAGTCTAGCCCATGATAAGTGGTTCACCTAATTCTCAAGTCTGCTTTCGCATTAGAGATTCTGCGACCGGAACCAGTTTGAATATAAATTTGGACCATATAACTGCAAGAATTTATTCCATTTTTTATCACCATGTCCGCCTTTTGCAATAAGTACACCCAATGCAATGGTCTGACTCAATTTGATTGACGTGGCCTGGTGACCTGAAATCCAGCGAAATTGTTTGGAATAATTACCTTCTGGATAAATGTCATTCGGGTAACCAACGTTCACAATGATGCTTCATTTGTTGCGCATCTTCCAGTCAAGTAAATCGCTTACCAGGAATCCCACTAGCGTTGATTATGACGATGATGATGGTTGAACTGCGCTGAATTGCACAAACAGTGATTGACAGGTGATAATTATCTGGTTCAATGTGTGCGGATTTTGCTGCTGTTCAGGTGTGGCAAATAGCAGTCTGACAAAACATAAGCGCCAATAAACAATATTGACGACATGGGTTCGTTAAGGATACTTAGTTCTTCCCCAAAGTTTGCGTTTATTTGCTGGGCTCACTCAACGCTAACAATCCAGTAGAAGTAAATACTTAACAATGATGCAGCAGTCGTATAATTGTAGAAAACAAACAACAATCAGCGAAAATCGTCTATTAGACCATAATTTTCGAGTATCTTAAAATTGACATTCTCTAATCGATAAAAGAGCAAAATTTGTTGTCTCGTGCCTGCCAGACTTCTGTTTACTAGGGGAATAACCGATTATAACACAGAAAAATTATGTCTTGGATCTGGTGGATCTGGTGAAGGCGATTGTCTAACTTCGTGATTTCGGATGTTGTGTTTTGGTTATTTCATCGACATGGTACAATCACTAAGCTTTCTTTCGGGTCTCGGTTGCGGATTTCTTGTTCTCGGTGTTTAATAACTCCACATGTGATACTTGTTGACTAGTATCGACAAGATTGAAACGATTGCTTGTGATCTCTCTTGATCCTCACACAGGTTAAGCTGACAAATGCATTCGTTTCCTTGCGCATCAGTTGAGGAGAAGCTATCCGTTTGTTTTCACTTATTCCGTAGGAATGCCCCTACTCACTCACCAATATTTATTCTTCCATTTCCAAATGTTTCTGTCAATCAATTAGAAAAATGTGTCATAGTTCATTATACTTCATTTAATCGGATTTTTCAACGCTCTTGAAACAAGTAAATAACTTGCATGCGTTGTGCCCGGAGTTCAGGGGCCTGATGTAACGGTAGATGTACAGCCGGAGTGAGGTCCAGCCACAACGAAACTCGAGTCTACTCTCTATTGAGTGTGCTCTAGGTCAAACGCAACGAATATTTTGTCTGACCATACAATCTAAACGATGACGGTTCTAATGAGTGATACTTAGAATCACTGCAAACATTAGCCTCTTCATTTAGAGTCAGTATATCAAAAACAGAACAACATTAACTAGTATTAGACTGAAACTATTTTCTTCGGAGTATAACATTTACCATTTTATATAAATTATACATTGAAATTCCTCAAAGTATATTCTTATGACTGAACTAAGGCCAGCAACAAACATGATGCTTTTATTCTATTTTCAAAGTAAACACTGTGAAGGTGGTTCCCACAAATAACTTTTGCGAAACAAGTGCGAGAGTTTCAAACATATACAATTCATGTTACAATGAGAACAGGTAACTGGAAAAATGAACATGGATTTAAAAAGTACCTCTTTTGGTTCAGCTCACAACGAGGCTGTGAGGGGTTCTAGCAAGTCAGTCAATTTGTGCCTACCACATATTTGCCAGTCGGGACTTGTCTTTCTAAATTTGAATAATGCTACTCATATGTGTGTCGTAAGTAGACGATTTCATCTCCTATGCACTGGTCGTTTGTCCTTCAAACGCTGGTGTGCATGAGACCACTTTGCAAGCCATAACTTGGACGGATTGAACTATCTGTAGTTGCTCCCACCCAATGACTGCATGCACATACTTCTGTTGTACAATTATGGCCTAAAATACTAAATTTTGTTCACTGTTACAACATTACACTTCACTTTTCGAAGGACTGATTTTGGGTACCTGTGAGACATTGCTGGATAAGATAATAATAACCACCTCTTATCTTTGACCAACGACCATTGATCAGGTGGTTCTTTCCAGCGAATCAAAATATTTATATTCACTCGTTTTTCCACCATGTTAGATCCTTCTCATCCGTTTTTACCCCTGCATGGCAACTGGCAGCAAACTGGCCTAAGCTACGATTATATGAAGTCCTGGTGACGGTGACCGTGTGCTCACTTCACTGTCAATAATTCCTAAAGAATATAGACATCCAAGTAGTTCATTGCGCGTCATTCTAAGCAGTGGTGTGATGGAAGAGGCTTACGGATAAGGATAAATCGAGAATCGATGGATTTTGCGAGGTCGATCTCAGCACGTATAAGCTGGTCAGACGCTGTGATAGGTCTCGATCAAACTTCACCACGATATTTGAACCGATAATAGCTAAAAAGCAGTAGTAAATAGATTGGATGCCTGAAAAACTTATCCGAGAAAGATCAGGGCAGATCGCTAAGAATGGCCCTAAATTCTGTGAGCCATACATTGGAGATGAAACCAGTGCTTGAATTAAAAGTTTTGGTGCGAACGCTACAGTGATCACTTGAAATGGTCCCTAGGAGTATACACAGTAAAAAAAAGTTACAGAGCTCTAGCATTCTTCCAATTAAGAAATACTTCATTGTGAACTGACAGTCGCCTGACTTGGAAAAACTAAGTGAAATTCATATACTTTATTACGACGCAAAGAAGTCTATTTCAGATGGACCTGCAGAACTACTAATGACATGATTTGTGAAGCAAGCGGTATTTCAGCAAATGAATTCACACTTGCTGGTCGGAGGTGTCTAATCAAGTCACAGCCCAAAGGAACTCGCTAGGCTGCGTAGGGTGCAAGATTCTGATGCATATATTTGTACATTTGAGAGGCAACGTATGCCAGCAGAGACATCGAATGATCATCCGGAAACCATTTTCCAGCATGATATCATCATAGTTCACTACGAGTATCTATCAAAACGTCGATTATTATTTCGTGGCATCATAACAAATGCTGCTGTTGAAAAGGGAGTGGAGTACTACTAACAAAGACATGATTTAAAATCTTGAACACTGATAAAGTGGCTCCAACGGATAAAGCCCGGGGATACAATACTTTTTGTCTCAGTGAATATTCTGTTCATATAGACATGCTTTCGTTAAATTAAAAGGTAATTTGATGATATTTCGGATTTCGGATTTGCATTTGGTTGCCGTTTAGGCTGTCAAAAATGGTGACGATCTTCCGTATGTGAGCGGAGATAATTCAAAAATCTGGAGGGGTGTCAATGTTTTTGTCGTGTGGTGCATATTGGCCATGGCTTTTTACTCATTGTAAGCGGTGAGGAAAACCAATCCCAGATTAATCTACCGTCTGAGTTATTGAAGGTCCAGGCAGAATCCACTCCCGCTGCCAGCCATTTCAACATTCCCGATTAAGCATGCCTAGCTGATCTGACTTGACGTGATTCACTTTCTTACCCGGCCAACCGAGGCCACTCAGCGCCAAGTTTGTTTATCTTCCACCAAAGGGCAAGTACGCCGGGTTGAGGGAAGAACAGGCACGCCCTACTTCAGCGAAAATCTCAACCTCACTCATTGGACGTCAATCCGGTACAGTACTCAAATTGTCATCCCGTTTCGGTGAAATTCGTTGGAACCAGTACTCAAAGCGGCTTTACCCAGTTGTGACGAAGAAATCAACTGGGGTTTGGATTCAACCGGCCGGAGTGCATTGTTTACTCTTGGCTCGTCACTCATAGACGCTGAGTATATTTATTTAGTTCGTGCGAAGCTGGAAAACACTGGAATGCCCGTTACCAGAAGCCAGAAGATCCTAGACGAGGATGAAGGCGTTTCCAGGCAAATCTCCCTTGATGCCCTTTCATGTCATGGCTCTTATAGTAGTCAACGATCTAAGTTTAGCTTAGCTCGGAACGTTATGATAAAGGCTAAACTCGACGAACAGACTCTAATGCAGGAATCTGAGTTAGAAGCTATTGAATTGAAGGCTTGCAGAAAAAGGATGTTACTTAAGGCCCATACAAACCTGGAAGAAGCGTGGCTCACAGTAGTAGCTGAGGAAGAAGGAGGGAAGACAGACTGATTCCGAGGTTGATAAGCTCTCGAATATCAGTGACTACATAAAGGATTGTCAGTCAAAGTGGCGTCTGCAAGAATAATTACACATCGAGTATCCGGCAGCGAAGATCAATAAACGAGGGGAAAATCTTTTTCGATCGAGGATTGAAGGGGTGGAGTTACCCAAGGTGGAGCCCTCTTCTTTTGATGGTGACCCAAGGCAATGTTGGATGTTCATACATCAATTCGAAACGTATGCTGAGGCTAGAATAAAGGAGGATGCACAAAGGTTACTTTACCTTCTCCACTACTGCAAGGTTCACGCGAAACAGTCAATTCGACAATGCATTATGCTGCCACGAGGGGAAGGTTACGCTAGAGCAAGAAAGATTCCACATAAGCTTTTCGGTCAAACACACAAAGTGGTAAGGAGTCTGTTGAATGAGTTGCCCCATGAAGGGAGACCGATGGCCAACCAAGCCGATGCTCTCACTGATCTATCCATACGCATGGGAAATTGTTCCATCGCCCTTTCGCAAATGGACTACGAAACGGAACTGAATTCCCTGGTCACATTAGAACGTATCGTCAAGTCCTTACCAAAGAATTTACAGTACAAATGGGCAGAGTTCGGAGACAGGACAATGGGTGACGACAGAGCCCCAACATTTGCTGATTTACAAGCTTTCATCGAAACTCGAGCGAGGTTGCACGAAGTCATTTTGGTCGCATTACAGAAGAACGAGAAAGGGCTGAGCGCGGGCTGGAACGGACCCCTGAGTTCAGGGTAACTGATCGAAGGAAAATACATGTTTTCTATACCGACGGAAATGACAACCCACGGATGTGTGCGATGTGCAGTAAAAACCACAACCTGGAAGTCTGCGATCAGTTTCTCACCATGGTGATTGAGGATCGATGAAAAAAGGTGATACACTTGAAGGTTTGCTTCAAGTGTCTCGGTGGTGGACACCGAGCACAAACGTGTCCAAAGGGGTTTCCTTGTGGAATGTTCGATTTCAAGGGTGGTCATCACATGCTCCTTCACAAAATGCCCGAACAATATAACCCATAACATCCGAGGGCAAGGATTTCCGCCACCCGCACCCCATCGGTCAACGTCTTCCTTGGCCTGGTTCCCATCCGCCTCGTTGGTCCTAATAGCGCAATCGAGAAGTTTGCTCCTTTGGACAGTGGCTCAGATACAACATTCATTAACCATACTGTAATAAACAGGCACACCCTTTCCCCCACGACCATCAGTACAATCAGCGGTTTATCCAACATGCAGAGCCAATGCACTAGCTTAAAGGTTACAGCGCTAGATGAAACCGAGAGCATCCATATAGACTAAACATTTTCAGTTCTTCAATTAACCCTGTCAACGTCGGAAATTTCTGTGGCCGCCAAAGACGATAAATGGCCACAGATGAGAAACATCCCGTCCAGAGAAACCAATCCAAGAGAGATAAACGTACTGATTGGTTGTGATAATTCAGAAGCGCATTATTCATTGGAAAACGGCTTAGTGGACCGGTGAGGCAGCGCGCGTCACTGGGGGAAGAAATACGTTTTATGCAAGATAAAGAATTACACGATGGTGCGACGACAAAAAAAGTGCAACCGCTAAACGATCGTACAGATGTGGTCAGTGAATTTACGCTCACTTCTGCTGGGCACCTGGAGCTACCGATGCCGTGGAAAGTCAGCAAGCTCGAATTACCAAACAGTTATACAATGGTAGAAACAGGACCCCCAGATTTGAGGAGACGGTTTATCAGCGATCCCATTTTACTCCAAGCATACAGAGGACTCCATGAACACCGCCTCACAGCGGCTAGCTTGAGTTTAGTTATGCGTCCGCAAGAACGGATGCCTGTTGGTATCTATATCATTGTCCTGTACTGAACAAATCGAAACCAGTTGTCCAGTTGACAGATGGTTCAACATGATATCCCATGACGGATTCTAAGCTGCTTTTGAAATGATTCCTTCTTCTTCAAGTCAAAATATTTACAGATGACGGAAAAATTAGTGGTAACCAACAAAGAGCATTGGACAGCTGTTTCATCCTGTTTGGGACTTGTCAGCAGTGCTTACTTTTTGTGTCCTTATCAGGACTCGAACCGCGAGCTTCAAACCCTGATTCCTGATCTACACGGTCGACGGTCATCA